GGGAGGAAAAGGGGCTGCCCTGCGGGGGAAAAAGCGGGAGCCGTAAGCAAGGGTGTAAATTTACAGCATATTATCTATTCTGTGGGAACATTTAAACATCAAGTAACACGCTATTTTGAAAGTGGCATCACCCAGTACTCGTAGTAGGTCCACACTGGGAGCTATTACAGAGCAGCTGGTGCCCCATAAAACGCGGTGTCTTGCATAGCAAGCTATACACACAAGTCCAAATATATATTTCTATACATTTATGCATGTATGCATGTGTACTCCTCACATACAGAAGAGCAAATCAAAGTTCAGGTGTATCTATATACAAACTGGATAATTAAGCAAGAGTAAAACTCTACATGGGTACACATTCTGTTTAACTTGCCCTCTGCGAAAGGACTGTGGCAAATTAAACCAGCACAAGCCAAATTTCAAGTCAGTTTAAGGTGTTTGCACACAAAAATATGTGTTTCTAAGCTGCTGTAAAGAGTCCTGCAGCCTTTTGGATGGGACTAGGAGTGTGTAAGTGCAACCAGGAATACTGGCAGCTCCAAAATAGAGATGAAGAGATAAAGACCTGGATGTTGTGTATAGGAATAGATGTTAGGCGCAGCAAGGGTGAGGGTGATTCTTCCGACTTTTCCAGACACTTAGTTTTTTCACACCGATGGCTAAACCAGATTTTACTACAGAAGAAAACCCACCAAGCACTAATTTCTTCGTGGCCAGGACCACCCTGGCAGACATTCTGTCCTGTCCCAGCAGTGAGGACAAGCCCCCCAGCCTGCACCCTCAGCAGAAAGCAAAGCAGCAGGCACAGCACTACAGCGTCAGGCTCCAAGCTCCTCTCTTGCCTGGGCAAGAGGTGGTGGGAGGAGGCCTTCCTGATCAACCAGCCCTGGCTGGAAGGCCAGGGCTTCGCTAGGCACGTCCACAAGCCCCAAGTTCCTCTCTCACATCACACTAACGCTTGCAGTTGCCTCAGCTTTGAGTAACTCCACAAGTCACAACAAAGCCCCTGGCAGCAACAGCCCAGCACTGCTAGGGGAGATAGCTGTGCTCTTCCCAGCATCAGGACTTTTAAGTCCCTGCTCCTTCCCTGCTTCCCAAGCTACCACAGATTCCCTTTCCTCGAGGTCTGCACTTAGTGACGGTTCCCAAAGCCCAGCTAACAGCCCAACCTGCATCACACAGCACTTGTTTTGTAGGCAGAGACTGGAGCAGGTGAACAAGAACTGCTGGGTTTACACCTCGGAGGAGGCACCCAGAGCCCACCCTGGCAGTGTCGGTCGCAGGTGAGGTGGCAGCAACAGCACGAGTACTTAACAGTCAGACAGTTACTGAGAGGCTCTGCAAGAGGTTCACATTGCACATTAAGAACTTTGTTACTAGGGAGGTAGTACAGCACTGGAACAGGCTGCCCAGTCAGGTTGTATTATCTCCACCCTGGGAGGCTTTCCACGCTACACAATTCACGGCTGACCTGATCTAGTGTGGGCAACAGTCCTGTTCAGAGCGGGAAGCTGGACATGAGACCTCCAGAGGTTCCTTCAAACCAACATGTCTAAGACTGAGAAACCTTATGTGAGAAAGAGGGGAGATCTAGAGCCATTTTCTGAGTCTTATCACAACATTCTTATAGGTGTTATATCAGAATATTGTGTTTCATTGAAGCCACGGTCTGTTTTGAAAACAAGGATGCTCACCAGCTGGTCCCTCTTCTAGGAAAATAGAGTTTCATTTTCTGCTATTTATAAAATGTTTTAATAACGTTAAGAAACTTGACTTCTTGAGTATCTGGTTTTGGTGAGACACTTCCAGTCAAGATGAACACGGTGGCTACTAAGTACTTGACAATGAATCATAGCTTTGTTTGCCCTACCCTATTTGAAACAAACACCTGTAAAAACTCTGACAGGAACATACACACAAGAACCTAAAGGCTCTAAAAAAGCACAATTCCATCTGAAAGTCCCGGGAGATGGTGTTTCAAGATTACTTAGACATTTTTCAGCATTTTCAGAAGTGCAGTAAAATACTGCCAATACACAAGGCATAATACTGACAGAGGAGTGACAATACGCTGCGGTGACTATCAAAACCCAAGCATACTGTAGACTGAATATCCAGTATTTTTAGGTAACTAAAATCTAAGCTGATAGAACTATTCTGTCTCCCTTGCTGCATTAGATCATTCCTGTTGGTGCATGTGAAGTCAAAGAAAAGAATGAATAAAAGATTACTTACTTGGATACTCCCGCCTGGTCCAAAACAACTTTTCCACCTCTACACGATGGATAAACTTTAACAAAAAATTCATATAACATGCCGTCATCCACATCAGGAGTCAGGTCTCCCACAAAAAGTGAATATTCTGGACTAAAGAAATCAAAAGAAAACTTAAGTACCAGTCATACAAAAAAACAAAGAGGCATGCTGAGTGACAGCTAACATTTAGCCTAAACATTTGACTTCAGAGGAAAGTGGTATTAAAGGGCCATTTAATGGATATTTTAAAGTGTCACCAGTTAAGCTGCTTAGGTGACTCAAACTGTTATTGACACTACTTTTTCAAGTTAATTCAAGCAGCACGACTAATCTACTCAATACTGCTTTTTTATTTAGAGAATTTCATTTTTTAGTTCTCACAGGTTATCTCTGGATTTCTAATATGGCAAGAAAACATTAATGTTTCACTTATAGATTTGCTATTTCCAATATACTGATATTAAATTATAACATATGAATTAAGATACTTTGATGCTAGAAAGTTTAAATATCTTAAAAGACACTCCTGGCAAATCTGCTGTGCCACAGAAAAGGTAAAGCATAAAACTGGCAGGCAGTCTAAGTTTTTCTCCCTTTGCTAAAGACTCACGGGGAAGGCTGCTGGAATCAGAACAGCTACGTTACCCATCTGTATTTCCAGAACAAATGGAACCGTAATAATTAGTTACCAGATGTGAATCTCATTCTTGGTCCATCTGTTGTGCCTTGATTCTAATCTAAAAAGGGGGTTTTGTGCTTTTTCTTTTATAAAAAGGTTCGTAAATCATTATTGGAAATAAAAATGTAATTGCCGAGATATGACTAACACTACCCTAATAAACTGCAGGACTGTGTTGTTTTCACCCTCGTACACACCTGCCCGGACGCCTCCTTGTGTTATTATTACTTCAACTGTGTAAGCGTTTCGGGGTAGCATTATGAAAGATACTCACACCACCCAACTTCAGGAACCTAATTTAGCCCGTTTGTCTCCTTACGCACCTTTCACCACCAGTGCAGAAAGATGGGCTCCTCCAGAGGGCAACTCAGAGCACCCTTCTTGGCCTTTGCTGACTGTTGTGGTACTCAAGCCAGTTAAGCCAGGTGGTGCGAAACCACTGCATTTATTTGCAGGTGCTAAACACATTCGTGGCATTATACAGTATTATGATGGAATGCATCCTCAGATAGGTAGAAAGTGCAAACAGGTTACAGCATCGCAAATATCTACAGTGTGGGCCAAGGCAGTTTAATGTAATCTACATTTTTAATTATGGGATTTAGTTACTTGGCACTGCTAGACAAAATGGTACAAATTTTAGTTGTATGCATCTTCATCAATGCTCTCCTATGCAAATTTGCTAGCTGTACATCTCATCCAGCAACGATGAACTTGTGGGTTTACATATTCTGAATACGCTTTGCAAGGCAATTGATGAAGAGACGTTAAGCAGGCAAAACTTCAAATTAAAAAATATTTGAATATTGAGTGTTTACCTGTTATCAGGCTGTTTTCCATACGTTGCATAATTCAATTTAAACCGCTTTGCCTGAAACAAGACAAAAATAAATCCATATACTCAAATGCTCTCATGTGAATCCAAACAATGAGGAAAAAATACAATAAGCTTATTTGACACAACTTTCTGAATGCTGACAGATGTTCAGTGCCAGTTACAGTATCAAGGACAACATTTTCATTTGACTTCAGTACAGCTCTAATAATGAAAATCAGCAAAGAACCTGCACCAAGAGGTTTGGCCTGTCTTTATGTCAACAGTTTATAAAGTTAGTGAGAAAGAGAGGTGAACCTTATATAGCATCACATTTTTCTATCTTTATGGAAGACAGGAAAGCAGTGCTACTAACCACAAATATTAAATGACTTACAATTTTAAGGTCTTAAAATGAAATGACAGCACAGACCACTGGACATTTGTGATTTACAAGAATACTCACAGACCAGAACCTGCCACACTGGAAAATGGAATCAATCCCTGAGTCTGGAAGCACGGCTAAATACTTTGCTCTGGATGATGTGCTTATTTAGTAAGATCCAAAATTAAGATTCTTCTGAAAGCCTTACCTGTCATTGGACACTGGAGGCCTCCCTAAACTTTGCACCTGATTTTCTTTTTAAACAAGTTTCCCAGGCACCAGATTTGTGCCCACTGGCACATCTGGAATTCCCTGCCCCCATCCTACCAGGGTTCAGCAACCTGTACCCACCTCACGTGGAAGTCTGGACCAAGATCTAAGGGGCAGCTGGTCTTTTTTCTCAAAATCCTGAGGGTCTCAATCCCAGGGGCATTCTTATATGATGCTTATCCCACAATGACCCAAGCAGGCTCACCGCAGAGGGCAATGGTAATTGCTATTTTCTTCTAAAGCATGTCTGACAGAGGAAGAAGCAAAGGGTTGCACTCCTTTACACGGTAATTGCTATTTTCTTCTAAAGCATGTCAGAGGAAGAAGCAAAGGGTTGCACTCCTTTACAAGAATACTGGCGTCAGAACTCACACAGAGAGTGGACGACCTAAGCTGGACTCCCTCGTCAGCTTGAGGGGCTTCAAACCCACTTTTCTGTCTCCCAACAGGCTTCCAAAGCAGGTATCCCTCTGCACTACACAGTGGCATAGCAAGACTTCAAGGGGAATTTGGCCAAAGAAAGCAAGCCTACTGTTAGTCCATAACCTAGAGATCAGGACGTTTGTTAAGTACAGCGGAGAGCCTAGTGTGCTCCTGCACCTTGTGTGATGTATTTTCTTCCCTCAAAGATAGCGTAAATAATTCTTGGGAAATAGAGCAAAGACTAAACTCTAGGCTATAATCATGTTCCTTGCATGCTTGCGTTCACTGGCGCACAGTGGTACACAGCTCTTTCTGTGGACCATTTACAAGCTAACGCAAAATTTAGATTCCACTTTGAAGCACTTTCATCTTTTTTTTTTTTTGGATTTGGCTTTTCATCGCCATATTTTGGGTTTAAAAATCAATGAGAGACCTGAGAGTACTTCCCCTCAAATGGGGATGCTACTTCTGTAAAACAGAGCCAGCAACAGCATCGTGGCTCTCTGCTATTCCTTTGGCTGATTCAGTATTTAAAAATAAATAAAAGAGTAAGCCACATTCATTTTTTTGCAAACAAGAGAAAAAGTATCTAAATGCAAGAGACGAGCTGGACAGTTGCCTGCTGAGTGCACTGATTTTGGCTGCCTACAGTGGATCTCTGTCTGACATCTGTAATTCTCTCCAAGCGTTATGTAAATCATCCCTCTACACAACACTACATTTTGAATTAAACTGTGGATGAAGGCGGGTATTCTCAAACCCAAACTTCAATTATTATATTACTCCTTGCAAGAGCTGCCCTCTTTCTCTCTCTAGTGACTATACAAGGCTTCTAGGAAGATGAGCTTCCCTTAATCGTGGGCTCTGATTTGCAGTATAAGGGCAGATTAAACAGGACAGGTGAAACAGGTACCTCCAGGCCTCTTATCTACCCCTGTTAGCAGGGGACGCCATCCTCTCCGGAAGGTTGACCAAATACTTCAAGGAACACCTGAACTTCCCCATTTCCTACTCTGGGTATTAACTGCGCTGAAACGGGCATCAATTTACCTTGTGATATCACACTGTAATTGAGGTGATTCTAGAGCTGCTTTATGAACCAGTCACCCCAGCTATTGCAGCCAACTTCTGCGGGTACAACGGACAGCTGTGTCAGCCGTCCCATTTTAATCTACTACACATTCGAGTCAACATCCTAAAATTAGCCTCTCTGACTATTCCTCCTCTTCTTCTTAACTACCTAGCTTTTATGTATCCCAGACATTTGTTATGTATTGCAATTATCCAATGGACTAGCTCTTTCTTCACTGTAGACAGGTTTGGATTTGGCTTTTCATCGCCATATTTTGGGTTTAAAAATCAATGAGAGACCTGAGAGTACTTCCCCTCAAATGGGGATGCTACTTCTGTAAAACAGAGCCAGCAACAGCATCGTGGCTCTCTGCTATTCCTTTGGCTGATTCAGTATTTAAAAATAAATAAAAGAGTAAGCCACATTCATTTTTTTGCAAACAAGAGAAAAAGTATCTAAATGCAAGAGACGAGCTGGACAGTTGCCTGCTGAGTGCACTGATTTTGGCTGCCTACAGTGGATCTCTGTCTGACATCTGTAATTCTCTCCAAGCGTTATGTAAATCATCCCTCTACACAACACTACATTTTGAATTAAACTGTGGATGAAGGCGGGTATTCTCAAACCCAAACTTCAATTATTATATTACTCCTTGCAAGAGCTGCCCTCTTTCTCTCTCTAGTGACTATACAAGGCTTCTAGGAAGATGAGCTTCCCTTAATCGTGGGCTCTGATTTGCAGTATAAGGGCAGATTAAACAGGACAGGTGAAACAGGTACCTCCAGGCCTCTTATCTACCCCTGTTAGCAGGGGACGCCATCCTCTCAGGAAGGTTGACCAAATACTTCAAGGAACACCTGAACTTCCCCATTTCCTACTCTGGGTATTAACTGCGCTGAAACAGGCATCAATTTACCTTGTGATATCACACTGTAATTGAGGTGATTCTAGAGCTGCTTTATGAACCAGTCACCCCAGCTATTGCAGCCAACTTCTGCGGGTACAACGGACAGCTGTGTCAGCCGTCCCATTTTAATCTACTACACATTCGAGTCAACATCCTAAAATTAGCCTCTCTGACTATTCCTCCTCTTCTTCTTAACTACCTAGCTTTTATGTATCCCAGACATTTGTTATGTATTGCAATTATCCAATGGACTAGCTCTTTCTTCACTGTAGACAGGTTTGGATAACTTTTGTTTGCTAAGGGCCGAGAACAATGCAAGGCTTAAAAGTCATGTTTCTCTTGCAAATCAAAAGTTACTCAAAACCCAGTGAGAACTTGCAAGTTCACCTTGTACATATATAACAACATACACACCGCAACAAATTCATGTGGAACTACAAACGGAGAGAGACCGAAGAACAGTGGTACTCCCATCTATTTTTTCCTTGTTCTTCTCTGGTGTCTTATTAGTCCAACTGTGGTAATAGCAGAAAGGTTCAGAAATACAACATTTCTATACCTGGATTTTATCCAGACGTTCACACAGAAATTAGTATTTTTTTCCAACAATTTTCTGAGCAAGAACATTAATAGTTTTATGTTCATTAATTTAATTCTAAAGAAAAGAAGAATCCCAGTTTGCTAACTATGAATTTGTCTGTAATCGTTCAAAATATAGATTCTACACTATCTGTGCCTTCCCAGTTTTGGTTCTCAGCTGGCTGATTTCATTTACTTACCGGTGTAGCGCCAGGAAGCGGTTTTCCATTGATTTTGTGTAAACATTTCTCTGCAGTAGCTAGATCTGCAAATTCTACAAAGCAATAGCCTGCTGGAATTCTGAACATACGACACAGGAGAGGAGAGAGAAAGATTTCTGATTTAAAACACATTTGAGGAGGAATATTGTATTTTTAGATACCTGGTAGGAAGTTTGCTATAGTTGCAATACTTAGAACAATTTATTTTCCAAAGCAGAGACATTAGCTACCAAAAAGAAGCTAGCAAAGTAATGTTGGATCTCAAGTATGTGACAGCCCCTACTTACCAGTAAGTCATCTCAACATGACCACATACAAAATAGTTTTGCTCACAATTAGTTTACTTCCTACTTTCATTGACTATACACATTTTCCCACCCAAGTTTAAAAAACCGAAAACTGGAATGACAACATTTACAAGAACACATAACTACTTTATTCTGCATAGTCACCCATTTTATTCCAAATGAACTCAAAGGGTCCTCATATGGTTCCTTCTAAAGTCAGACTTCCCACCTCTGCCAGCCTCATATAGCTGCACTAGTGCAACGATTAGCACAGACTGGTCACCAAAGCCTTCAGCCCAGGAGGTGTGATTCCCAGAGGGATTCTACAGCACACATATGCTGCTCTGAACGAGTGCTGAAGCACTGCAGGATGAGGGCCAAACCTTGGTTTGTTGATAGGGAGGTCAAAGAGCCAGCAATTGTCCTCTCCATTGCTATCATCAATATACCCACATTGTTGGCAGCAATGGTGAAAAGCTCAAAGGGAAAATCACTGTAATGTGGACAGGACCACAGCGATGAGCAGAGGGCAAACGGTTCAATCCAAATGCACTGGTAGAACAAACTGAGAACAAGCATAAACAGTTACCCTGTCAACCTGTTTCGAATGATTTTTACGCTCAGTACGAGCTCTCCCATGGTGGCAAAGGCTCTTGAAACAAAGTTTTCATCCATATATGGCTCCAGCTATAAAAGCAAAAAAAAATAAGTTAGACGAAGGCATCTACAAAAAGGAGAATATATGTGTCAATGTCACCCTAAGCAGTTAAAACATTATTGAGAAGTATTTTACCCTTACACTTCAAAAAGAAGACTCATTTAAGAGGGTCGATGCCACTCAAAACCAGCAGGCATGCATGAACCAGGCTCAACAGTCTGCAAAGTGGAACCCAAGAGACAGCATGAATTTCAGAGAACAGGGAGCTTTCACAGAAGGACAAAAGCCACTCAGAAACATACAGCAACAAACTGAGCGTTCACTACACGGAGCAGGGGATAAGGAGATGGCAGGCTCCTTCTCTGTATGCAAACGGAGGTTGGGCCAGCGCTATCGGTACACAGGGACGGCACAGCTCAGGGTGCTACGATGAACGGGCGGCATGCGTCAGGTAACACAGCCCCCACCAGGGTAGGGGTTTGCAGAGCCGTGTCTACCTCGCATAACCATGGAGCTACACGGGGCAGCGCTTGGAGGGGAAACCTCTAATCACGTCCCACAGTACATCTGCGCTTTGTACTGCGCCTGGGGGCACCGACCGTGTTGATGTCATAGGTGAGAGTGTGGCACTGTGCATGTCAGAGTGTGTGTGAAGTGCAGGGTGGTGGTACTGTGTGAGTGAACACGCTGGAAGGCAGGTGTCTGGGTGGTGTAAGTGACTGAAAAGTATGAAAAGGCACTGCAATTCGGACAAAATATACGATGAAGGTACTGAGGGAAAAGGATGCCTCTCTGCGTAACAGAAAGTGGAGGAGGGAACTAACGGAAATTCAGGTTTTGTGCAATACACATACTGATGGGGAGCACCGCATGTGACAGCTAACACGAGGCTGGGGTGTGAGGGAAACATATATAGCTCCATATATATAAGTATCTATACCTGTGTGAGTCAGACAGATGGCCTTGTGGTAACTGACAGCCTTCAAGCGCGTTCGTGTGTCTGTCAGGTACCAGGTGGCTCCGTCACTCGTGTGCGTGGCAGAAGGTGCAGACTTGTGGGGTATCTGATAGTGGGTAACCATATTGCACTCGCACGTGCAAAAGGTGGCAGATGCCCTGCGGAGGTGTGAGCGTAAAGCAGAAGTGACTCCGTTACATGTGCCAAAAGCAGGAGGCAGGATTCCCCTGTACAGACACGCCATGCAGCGGGTGATCCTGTGGTGTGTGTGTACAGGAAAGCTGGACTCATAAAGGCAACGGGTGACTTGCTTGGATATGTACGCGTGTGTTTCGAAGAGCAGTGGCTTGCTTGTGAGAGAGGTGACTGAAAAAGAAGATGGCCTTATGGTGGAGAGGTGGTAGATAACCCTTTGTGCGGGAGAAGAGAACAGGGACTCTGTAGAGTGTGTTTGCGCGAGCGGCAGGCAGTGGAACACTCACTGCCGTGTCAGTGTACGTGTGCAATGCAAGGGCAAGCTCGGTGGAAGCGTGTGCCTAAGAGAGAAGCAGCCAGTGGGATCCTCAGTGATGCGCTGGGTTGTGTGTGCACACACCCGAGAGGGGCTGAGGAAGACTGCAGGGTGCACGTGCGTGCGCAAGCAGGACTATGCAATATGCTGGTGTGAGTCTGTAGGGAGGAGGCTGGAGGAAGACGTGTGTGTAGGTAACAGGCAAAGTGGAAATTGTGATATGCTGGTGCAACTGCACATGCGTGTCTGTACGTATACGCAGGTGTATACGAGCATGTGGCAGGCAGCAAGGACACCACGATGCAGCGGTGAGCGTACGTGACTGCATAAAAGTGGCAGACAGTGCAGACACTACAACATGAGCACACACATACAGGGGTGTACATGGGTGGCAAAGCACTACAATAACCGGGGTGTGAGTACACACATGTGAGCGTGTATGAAAGCATGTGTCTACAGTGGCAAGCAGTGAGGGACACGAGTATGGGGGCGTGTGAGGGGCAAACAAGGGACACCGTGGGGTGTGTGTCACTGTGTGCACATGAGCAGGCAGTGAGAGACACCTGAGGGTGAAGAAGCACCTGTGAGTGTGCTGCCAGGTGCACACGCAGGTGGGAACGAGGGAAATACTGAGGGGTGTAAGTGCTTATGAGTGTGTGTGCATGCAGGAGAGTGCAAATCCTTGTAAGCATGTGAGTGCACCCACAGGTGTGGGGCAGGCAGTGAGGGATGCTCTTGGATAGGTGTGTACAAGCATGCGAATACAAGTAAGCGTAAATGCCTACAAGTGTGAGCACAAGCGTGTGAGCCTAGCAGCACGTGTGAGCGCCTGAGTGTCTAAGTGCCTTATAGCATACGACCATGAGCATATAAGTGCCTACAAGCACATGAGCATATAAGCCAGCGTATAAACCCTAGAAGCATGTGAGCATACAGGCTAGTGAGTAAGTAAGTGAGCGTGTAAGTGCCTAACTGAGCACGGAACTGTGAGAACATGGCAGTGCCCACCAGCGTGAGCGCAGGCAGCACGGGACACCGGTGCAAGTGCCACGAGCGTGTCTGTGCCCCTGGCTGCGGGCAGGCGATGAGGGTCACTTTTGGGGTGGGGGTGGTGTGCCTCACTGGGTCTGTGAGCGTGTAACTGCCCATGGATGTGCCTGACGGGCCAGGGCTGGTGTCTCCGAGTGTGTGTGTGCGTGCCAGCCTGTGCGAGTGTGCGTGTCAGCCTGTGTCAGCCTGCCAGCGTGCACAGGAGTGCGTGTGCGTGAGTGTCAGTCAGCTCGGGAGGTTATGCCTGTGTCAGAGCGTGCGAGGCTGTGTCAGTGCGTGAGCGTGTCGGTGCGAGGGTGTCAGTCGGTGTGAGGGTGTCAGTCGGTGTGAGGGTGTCAGTAAGTCTGTCAGTGTGAGGGTGTCAGTCGGCGGGAGGGTGTCCGTCGGTCAGTCAGCGTGAGGGTGTCAGTCAGCGTGAGGGTGTCAGTCAGTCGGTCGGTCGGTCAGTGCGCCCCAGCCCGCGGTCGCCCCGGGTCCGCCCGTCCCGGCCGCTGCCCTCC